AGAGAGAGAGATAGATAGATAGATAGATAGACAGACAGACAGACAGACAGACAGACAGAGAGAGAGAGAGAGAGAGATAGATGGATACATAGTTAGATAGGTAGGTAGGTAGGTAGATAGTCAGCGAAAGAGAAAGAAAGAGAGAGAACGAAAGGAGACCTCAACCACCTTTCGGTCCATCAGTGGCTTCGCTCTGCCATCCGTGGCTCACAACAACCAAGCTCTCCTACAGGTTTCCTATTTTTGAAACTTCCGCCACCGCCTTGTGCGGTACTACTGGTATATATACATATATTTGGTGTTCAGTTAAACGGAAAACAACTGAGAAACGGGTAGTTGAATGGTTTGATTCTTTGCCGTAGATTTGAGACTACTTTGCCCAACTAAAAGACTTTTGCAGGGCACCTCAGACTAGGCGCGTGAATATGATACAAAACTGGAACTGCACTTGCTTAAGGTCTATAAAAAGGCCCTCAAATGGCAATTTCAGGGATGTTTCTTGTGGATGCTACATTGGGCCAAAACATTGGACCCTTGGAGATGCTACACAACCCATCCCGGCGGAGAATCTTAGTCGTTCACCAGAATCAACCAGATAATGTGGTGATGTGGTGATTCTATGGCTGGGGTGGATGCTGGGATTCAACTGGGGAGATATCCAAACTTGCGGATTTCCCCAATGCTGCGATGGAGGACGTGAAAACCATTGAAAACGCCAGCATTTCGGCTTTGAGAAGGGAATTCTCCAGTGATCTACCGACTTGGGAGATCACCAAATCTGGAGGATTCCCACCTCATGATGGTTTCTACCACACCAGGATGGTTTATAATTGGCTTTACCCTTCAAACTAACTAACATAGATAGGGAAAATCCAGCATGCCCGTAGATCATTTCCAAAACCATGAATTTATATAGCTATCTTAGTTTACTGGTTAAACCTTCTTGGAATCTAAGATAGCTATGGAAAACCACCGTTATCAATGGATAAATGCTCTACAAACGGGCCATGGCTTCCATAACTACTTTAGATTACCAGAGGGTACCCTGAGGTAAACATACAAAAAAATGTGAACAACTCATAGTGTGTCTAGGAAAATGATCTACGTTCATGGTGGGTTTCCCAACATCGTTAGCCCCAAGGAGTTGCAGCGTCAGAGTCTGCGGAAGCTGCGCGTGGCCCTAGCGGCTGGGCTCATGCCACGGCGGACCAAGCTCCATAAACCATACCCTCCGGTAATTGAACTTGGCTTGCTGGAAGATCCACCATTTTATAGAAGGTTTTCCACTGGTTTTCCACTGGTTTTCCCATTGTGCTCCTTTGATGTAGGACCGTAGGATTTCCTAGCGAGCCACGCCAATGAAAACCGGAGCCTGAAATGTAATTCTGGGGGCCAGTTTACCAACGATCACAGGGACTTAACCAATGAATTTCATGGGACATACTTGATATAATATAATTGCTAAATATTGGATAGGTTTTAAGATGTGGGGACGAGTCAAAACCTATGTTTTTCAATATTTGGGGGATGAACATCCATGAGCAAAAGCTATTTTGGGGTGAACAGAAGGGTATCATGAAACTGTATGAAACCCAAATTGACCATGCCCAGGAGGGAAAACAAGTTTTGGGACCCCTTTAGGGTTTCATTTCTGCAGGTGGGTAGCAACATATCATGGGCTTTGTTGGAAACGATCCTGGTTGGGTTGGGCCCCCGCATTCTGTTTGCCTTGTTTCTTGTTACCAACGCACCATCCGACACCTCTGGGCGCGCTTGCTGCTGCATGAAGGCGACAACTTCTTATGTCGCTCTTCTGTGATTTCGTTTTTAGCTGTGTTTGTTGCTGGATTCCCCTTAGGATTGCTGAAATCCCAACATGTTGGTTGAAAGAAACATCATATGACACCTTGTATTTTGTTGGTTAACCATGTTGAATCCACTTTTGGTTGCTCATAGAGATTCCTTTTTTGTTGTTCAATCCCAATTTCCAATGGCTTCAAAACATGTTTTTTTGCTGTGAAAGATCTCACCATCCTAGGTGGCAAGTGATTCGGGCATAGAGGTGATCGACTTGATTCTGGAAGCTGGGACCTGGGAAAGTTGGGGGGCATGGTGTAGTGCTTGACTGTATGTTCAGACTGTGCAAATACATACAGTAACTTGTATATAGTTATAATATGTGTATATATATATATACATATGTATGATATAATGTATATATATATATGTATCATATAGTATAATATAGTATAATATAATATAATATAATGTAATGTAATGGAGTACAATACAATATAATATGATATAATATAATGTAATATAATATAATATAATGTAATGTAATGTAATACAATACAATATAATATGATATAATATAATATAATACAATATGATATAATATAATGTAATATGATATAATATAATGTAATATGATATAATATAATGTAATATGATATATAATATAATATAATATAATATAATATAATATAATATAATATAATATAATATAATGTAGTGTAATACAATATGGTATGATATGATATGTGATATGATACAATATAATATATAACTAGGTATATTTATACATTAAATGCCTATATATCATGTGAGCTCCTCCCATGAGTTCAAATTAGTTTCAATCGGTTTCAATCCCCATTGTGTTGGGTTAACACACGTGGGTAGAACTTGGTCAGGAAAAACATGCGGCATGGAAAATGAGCAATGATGCGGTCAACTAACCAATGGTCATTGGTTACATACCCTCTGGTAAACTAACATAACTATGGAAAGTCACCATTTTCGATGGGTAAATCAACTACACATGGCAATTTTCAATAGATATGTTAGTTTGCCAGAGGTATATCCAATGTACCCATTGGATGAAAATACCCAAACAAAGATGCTGAAAAAAACTACAGCTTTGAAGACGACTCGTTGTGATCGTTGTGATCGTTCCCAGGAAGCAAAAAGACCCATCCTGCGACTTCTTCTGCCCTGTGGTGACTTGGCGGCTGGAAAAACCTCTGGGTTTAGGCGGTGGAGACCACGAATTGGAGATTGTCTTCCACCATTTTTTGGATCATTTTGAACATCAGGGGTTTGGCGTAATCCTCATTTTGTTAAGGCAATGATATTGGTGAAAACGATATTGGTGATCTTTATTTTCAACCACCCCGATATTGGTGATGTGACTCACTGGGGGGTTTCTTGGTTTCTTGGGAGAATCCCAGCCACAAGATGGGATGATGTAGATGGATAAACTCAGCATTTCTTGTTACCCGCTACCGGTAATCTAACATAGCTATGGAACCCACGGCCCATGGAGCTCGATGTTGAATTCTTGTAACGTACGGCGATCTTTCCATGTCGCAAATTCTAACCAATGATCAGAGGGTAAATTCCATTCATTTTTTACATCCCCATATCCCCACAGAAATTCCCATATATCCACAGATTGTTGTTGGTTACCCTCTGGTAATTTAACATAGCTATAGAAAATCACCATGCTATTAATGGGAAAATCCACTATTTCGACTGGGCCATTTTCAATAGCTATGTTAGTTTACCAGGCCGGGTAAACATTGAAAATGGCAATTTATAGTGAGTTTTCCCATTGAAAATGGTGATTTTCCATAGCTATGTTAAACTACCAGAGAGGGTAACCTCCCCATTTTTTGTGCCCAGGCACTTGCGCAGACGTCTCGGTGGAAAACCGCTTGGGTGCCAAGAAGAGCGCGCTGCTGGCGCGGCACATCGCTGTTGGTCATCCGGCCTTGGGCGCCGCGTGTGCTGTGATGAAGTCCTGGGCCAAGAGGTGCGCCAAACGTCGGAGGGGTCTGCCCTACGATGTTTAGCTATGGAAAATGGCCATAGAAATAGTGGATTTTCCCATGAAAAATGGTGATTTTCCATAGTTATGTTAGTAAATGGTGATTTTCATTAAATGTCCCCATTGAACATCACCCAACCATTAGGTATATGGTCTAGAATGGCTACTATAAGGTGATGTCCAATATTCCCAAAATGGGACAGTTACCAACCCTTCTTGGTTGGTTTGAAGATGAAAAAACTCCATTCTTGACAGATTTGGGGATGCCCAGTTTTTGAGAGATTTTTCATATGTCATGAGTCCTTAAAAACCCATCGGTTGCCCCATTCGATCCAGTCGTAGCCAAGAACATATTAAAGCATATGCTCAAGCTGGGTGATGGCAAGATTGCTGCAACGTATTTTCACTATTTTTTTTGGACATATGCATTTCCGCACCACGATTCCTCCCCTGCCGTGCGGGTAGACACCTTGAAAATCTTGAGAGGATATCATGGGGACCATGATCTGGGATTCTACTGTCACTTGCCAAGTGAACATGAGCAAAGCTACCACCTTTTAATCCCTGCCTTGGCAAACAAGAAACCATGGATTCCCTACTTATATAATTCCATGGTTTCAAAGCTGATTTGATCACAGAACATCCATATACTGAAAATCAAGGCCAAATTTATCGTCCCATATTTGGTCAATTGAAATCAGAGCAGCGTTGCCAGGCGTGGTGTTTATGGGCAAAGTTGCGGATTTCCTTCTGGTCTTGGCTACTTGGCTGCTAACACCCAAGACCTCCAATCCATAGATCATTGGATTGGTTTGATGGAAATTTTACAGGACACCTCCATATTTCATAGGAAAAACCATGGTTTCCTGTACATTTTCCCAGCAAAACCAATCCAATGAGTAGAGATTTGCACGTTTCTTGGGTGTCTCATTGTTGAACCAGACCCATCTACCATGGAACCAAGGCTTCATGGAAAGCCCAGTGAAGGTGTCAGCGTAAGATCCGTTTTAATGGGAAGCTCACCCTAGAAATGGAGGGTTTGAAGGGGAACATCATGTGTGAAAGAATCTGCATTGCACCCATGGACATGAAATCCCTGCACATTCCATCCGGTGCTTCTGACATGTATCGGCCCGAGGGCCCTTGAGTCAGCTGGTTCGCAAAACGTGCCATGTGCGACTGCAGCAGCTCGCTTCGTCGAAACTCTGCTTTCAAACTGGTAGCGGAGCTACGGCTCCTGCAAACAACAGTGCTCGCTTTGCTGTCCCTGGGCTCCTACCTTTGGTGCTTGGGAGCGATGGCATTGGATACCCTACGGTATGGAAGTTTCAAGCCCACCTATGTGGCGACGGACACGAAGGCACTTCCAGGATATGGTGGAGAGGTTCAGTCATGGGCTGACTACCGTTTCGCTGTGGAGGCCTTGGAAAAGAAGGAGGCGCAGATCGCAGAAGGAGAGAGAAAGAAGTTGGGACCATTAGCCCTTAGGCTGACGGAGCGATTGGTTGGACCCGCCTTGCAAGTGGCAAAGAAGGTTGGAGTGGAGAAACTATCCCAACCAGATGGTGTGAAGGTACTGCTGGAAGCCTTGGAGAAACAATTGCTTCCACTCAGGAAGCAAGCGGCCTTGGAGTTGTATCGAGCTGGAATGCGCGAAGGGATCTTATCGAGGCAAACTGGTGAGCCGATGAGTTCATACTGCCTACGTCGAGAAGCATGGTGGACGCAGCTTCGAGACATGGACCCGAGCATTCAGTGCAGTGATGCAATTCTGGGTGAGCAGTTGCTTCAACATGCAGGACTGGGCCATCTGGAACAGCAAATGGTGAGGACGGTTTGTCAAAATGACTTGAGTGACATGGACCGTTTAGCCAATACCCTAAGGGATCAGTTTGGGACACTCCATGAAAGGGAAACCAATCGGGGAAAAGGAAAGGGTAAGTATGAATACAAACCCTGGTCTCAACGGACTGGCTATATGACGGACTTCGCAGATGACAACTCTCTGGAAGACTCCTCTCAAGCTGGCTACAACAATGTGGAGACCTACCAGGATTCCTATGCCAACCACCAGGAGGATGACGAGACCTACGGTGATGATGATGCAGCATGGGAAGATGACCAGCGTGAGCGGGAGATCGAAGAGGAGGTCGTGATCTGGTATGCCAGCCAGAACATCGATGCGCAGACCTGTGCGCAGGAAGACTTGGAGCTTGTGGTCGACGCTGTGGAGGTTGAGATTTCGGCCTACTACAACCGTATGCAGGCTGAACATCGTGGAGTCACCAGCCCGGCCAACAGTTCCAACTATGCTGGTGGATCATCGAATATGTCAAGCCAAGAACGTCAAGCCAAAGTTCTAGCTGCGAAGCAGCGATCTCACTGTCGTGCATGCGGACAATTTGGTCATTGGCAACGTGATCCAATTTGTCCCCAACGAGGTCGTGGAAAAGGATTTGGAAAGAAAGGCAAAGGAGGCAAGTTTGGGAAGGCCAAGGGTGACTATGGAAAGTCTCGTGGAAAAGGTGGAAAGAAGGACAAGCCAAGAGTGGTCTACTTCGCTGTGGGTGAGGCCAGTGGCAGTGGCGATGGACATTGCTACATGGTGCTTCATTCGAGCCTTGACGATCCTGGGACACCTACAGGTTCTGCAGAAGGACGCCTTGAAGGACGCCTCGATGCAGAGCAGCAACGAGCCTTGGAAGCCGAAGTGCAGCGTTTGATGCAGCTGCCGAGGGATGAGATTGACCGGAGACTTCAACAGGAGTTGGAATTCATGCCCCCGGTTTCGAAGGGTGCCCCACCATTGAAGAGCCCTACACCTGTGCCGAAGGCCATCATGCCACCACTTGACTTGGCTACATCATCTACTTCGAGGACACCTTTGACGGCTTCGAGTTTGTCATCGATGAGACCTCCCGTGCCACCTATGCCTACCAGAAGCAGTGGACCAATCCTTGAGAGTGAGCCTGGAGATCCAACACCTGGAGATGGAGGAGTGTGTGCCCACCGGAACACTACGAGAAGAGGAAGCAATCAGTACCTCACCATGGTGACCTGCAAGGACTGTGGACAACGACTTCAGATCGAGCGGCGTGAGCCGGATGCAGACAGGCCAATGGCAGTTTTCACCCCTATGGAATGCCCTCATCCTACAGATCAAGTCTCGTGGAGAGGAAGCAATGGCTATGCCTGGAAATGGAGCTGCGCTGCTTGTGGAGCCAGTGATTCTGTGAAGAAGCAACCTGGCCAACCTCGTCCTGTACCTGGACAAGGATCTACGTCAGTGGTCATTGAGGCTGACGGGAACACCGGCTACAACATCAACAACGAGGCACAGGCCCTGATGGATGAAACCCTTTTTGTCAGTTCGGCAGAATGGGAGCAATTTCGTGGACTACTCGGACGCATGGTGAACAATCACATCACCTTGCATGGAGCCATCACACAGGGCGAGTTCTTGCATGTGGTCAACGCCACCTTGCTGTGCTACAAGACTCTTGGATCGACCTTCACTCAAGCTATGACATCGATGCCAGTGGCAAAGGCATCCCCAGGAGCAAGATCTACGACAAGTGCGGCAAGATCTACATCGAGCGTTGGAACTTTGAGGACTGAAGCTGGAGGAATCGATGGATCCAACATGATCACTTTCGGACGCTACAAGGGCTACACCTTTGCCGACGTCTACGAGATGGACGCTGGGTACGTGCAATTTGCACTGGATGAGCGTGCAAAGGGATCTGCCTATTGCACCAACATGCAGAGGTTTCAGGACTACTGCTTGCGGCGACGGGAATCAGAAGGCCTTGCTGTGGCCTACATGGTGGACGATGAGTTCGCAGTGAGCGGACCTGAAGATGACGATGTGCTGATGTACTTGGACAGTGGCTGCAACTCCACATGCCACGGCCAGTACTGGATGGAGAAGTTTGAGGATGCCACCAACTATCGGCCGCAATGGATGTCCCGAGAGCGCAAGAACCTGATTGGAATTGGCGGAGCTGCCTTGAGCTTGGGCATCAGGAAGCTCTATATCGCCCTGGAGACTTTGGAGGGATATAATGTCCCCGGCATCATCACTTCGATTGAGATTGAAGGATCTCATGCCCCTCTTCTACTTTCACTTCAAGCTCAACAAGATCTCGGCATGGTGATCGACTTGGTGGAAGGCACTGTGAAGTCTCGCACCTTGGGATGCACCTTCAACGCAGTTCGAGGACGTCGCAACAGATTGATCGGACTTCGTTTGACCCCTGGTGACTTCATGGACGACGGTGCCACGATCCCGGTGAGTCTCATGGCGGAGGCAGACGATGGAGACCGAGGAGATCGAGATCGAGATCAATGGAGGAGGCATGCAAAGACCCTTATGACTCATGAGGTGAAGAAGCTGCCGATGAAGAAGAAGCGCCACAGAGGACATCAACAATGTGTCCGAAGAGGAAGCCGACAGGATTCAGCTCGTGGAAGTGCAGACCCACCGAGCTTTGAGACCTACAATGGCCTGGAGGATTGGACTGAGGATGATGTCTTTCCTCCGGCACCACAACCACTACCAGAGACGGAGGATGATGAGTTCGTCTATGTGGAGGTGGACGTGACGGACGATGAAGACGATGACGTCATCATCACCGAGGACAACCCGGAGAATGCCGAGTCCGAAGAGGAAGAGAACCCGGAGCGTCGAGATGAGTCGACTCAGGACATCATCAATGAGCTCGAGGCGCTGCCTGACGAGGTCTTCGACGCATTCCCGGATGAGCTCTTCTTGCCCGGAGGTGGAGACGGAGATGGATCGCCGTCGAGCCCTACGTCTCAGCAACACCCTGAAGAGGACGAGGCAGACTGCTGAGAGCTGAAGGATGACCTGGTGATTCGACACCACTTCACACCCAGGAAGCAGTTCTTCAACCCGAAGGACGCTGAGCTGTCCCTTCCCATCGATCTGAACCGTCTCAGTTCAACCAGATGGACTTTCATGGAATACCTTGACAAGGAGGAGAAAGACACTGAGATCGATGAGTGGAAGGAGAAGCCATCAACTGCTGGACGAGATCGGGTGTGGGTTGGAACCACGGAGTTCCGTGTCATCCCAATCGATGAGGAGTTGAAGACCCAGAGGATGTCTTGGGAAGATGGACCTAAGAAGGTCATGAACAGAGGCCAGCGCAAGAAGATCCACGCTGAGGTGCAAGACATTGAGAAGGAGGACTACGCCTTGTGGAGTGTTCTTCGACGTCAGCGCCCAGCTATGCCACGTGGATGGAAAGCTCTTTTGGAGTTGTTCGCTGGTGCAGCGGTTTTGACCGCGACCTTTCAGGCTCAGGGCTATGAGTGCTGCCAACCCTTGGACATCAGATCTGGATGGAACGTCTTCGACAACGAGCAGAGGAAGCAGGTTGAACACACCATCGAGAAGGAGAACCCCTACTTGCTGAGCTTAGCATGGCCGTGTGGACCTTGGTCGCCCTGGCAGAGACTTTGCCCAGACAAGGACCTGGTATGGGCCAAGCGCCGTGATTGGCTGGAAGTTTTCCGCTGGTTCAAGAAGATCATCAAGAAGCAACGAGATCGAGGAGGAGTTTCGATGCTGGAGAACCCTTGGCCGAGTGAGGCATGGAACACGGAGGAGATGCAACAGGTGATTGGACTTGGACTGGAATGCAACAAAATTGACATGTGTTCCTTCAACCTTCGAGATCGAGAATCTGGTTTGCTTTACCGCAAAGGGACGTGCATTGCCACTGACTCCCCTGGGATCAGCGAGACCCTTCATGGAAAAGTATGCCACGGAGGACATCAACATCAGCCATTGGAAGGCAAGAATGCCTATGGATCACGGTGCCAACAAGCCGGCAAGTACACTGTGGAGTTCTGCAAAACGATTGTGAAAGGAGTCCAACGAGATTTGGAGAATCAGCTATGCTATGCCTTCGCTGCTGAGGATCTGCTGGAGGATGTGGAGAACCAGGATGATTCCGCAACTCTTGATGGAATCCATGGTCCTGACGATTTGGGGAAGCTGTCTGTTCTCAAGAAGTTGAGCGCAATGTGAACCATGAGGAGGACCTGGAGCTTTTGGACAAGGACGCAGACCCTGAAGGTGAGAAGCTGAGGAAGCAGGAATGGAGAAAGCTTTCCAAAGCTGAACGAGTTGGCATTCGCCGTCTTCACCACATGACGAGCCATGCCACCAAATCTCAGATGACTCGGATGCTGAGGTATGCAAATGCTGACAAGGCTGTGATCAGAGCTGTTCGGCATTTCAGGTGCCCTTCTTGTGACAGAATTGCACCTGAGGCAAGACCACAAGTCGTGAAGCCACCGGACCCCTACGTCTTCAACGATTCCATTGGCATGGACATTTTCACCATCAAGGACGCCTTTGAGCAGCCCTTCCATGTGCTTCATGTTATTTGCTTGGGAACCCACTTTCATGCTGGCGAAGTTCTTGGAGTCGCCCATGGAGTGCCGAGTTCCAACAAATGTCTTCAAACCTTGCTGAGGATTTGGATGAACTGGGCCGGATTGCCCACGCACATTGTGTGCGACCGCGGCACCCACAACCGTGGTGTGCTGATGCAACAACTGGAGCAACGTGGATGCAGATTTCGCTTTGCTGCTTTGGAGGCACCCTACCAACTTGGGAAGATTGAACGTGGAGGTGGCATCTTGAAAGGCATGATGAAGCGTGTGATTGCAAGCACCACTACAGTCGGAGAAGATGAGCTTCGAATGTGTTTGGTGGAGTGTTTGGAGACCAAGAACCGCCAAGGAACTGTGAATGGATTCAGCCCTTGCCAGTGGGTTCTTGGACGCAATCCTCGCATGTTTGGATGGCAAGACGAGGTGGACGATGACTTTCACAACGTCCTGGACCCTGATCCAACATCAACCTTCAATCGACGTGGAGCCATGAGGGAGAGTGCACGCCTTGCTTGGGCGATGGAGGACAGCCATCGACGTGTCCGAGCAGCACTACTTCGTCGTGGTGGAACCCCTGAGGAGGTCTACAGACCAGGAGACCTCATTGCTTTCAAGAGGAAGCAGAAGACTGGTGGATGGGTTGGACCAGCTCGAGTCCTTGCCACGGAAGGCAAGAACCTATGGATCTTGCACAGCGGCATCCCCATCTTGGTCGCTGGCAATCGAGTTCGAGCTGCCAACGCTGAGGAGCACCTGGAGAATGAACTTCTCGACAAAAGCAGACTGAGCAGGAAGAGGCCATTTCTGGACCCAGAAGCTGTTCGTCAACCACATCGCTTTGATGACCAAGGACAACAACCCTATGTGGACATGAGAGGACCGACTGATGGAGATCAATCTGGAGCGGATCGATCTGGAGGAGAAAGTCCCAAGAGGGTGAGGTCTAGCGATGAGGGAGCCAGCAGCCCTGCCAGGAGCTCACGGGTGCCATCTGCAGCAGCTTCTCCAGCTGCACCTGCCAAATCGGATGATTTGGATGAACTTCTGGATGCGGAAGTTGAGGAGAGTGGAGGACCAGCCAGAGCGGCTGCCCCTGCTGTGAATGACCAACCTCAACAACCATCAACCAATCAGCAACCTGATCTACTATCGACATCTCAACCTTATTCCGTGCAACCTGAGGAGCAAGTTCAACAACATCAAGAAGAACGACCCGCAGCGGTGACTGCGAGACAAACTACCGCTACTTCAACAACTGGACCCCCAATGGTGCGCACACCACTGGCCAAAGCAATGGCAATTGACGGAGGAGACCGACTGGACTTTGGTGTACTCCGTACAAGAGCCATGAGAACGGAAAGAACTGGGCCTTATGAGAGGATTGAACCTCAGGCCGAGGAAGATGAGCGTCCTGCAGCTCACTTCAACTTTCCAGAGCCGACTGAAGCCAATTTGGCTTTGGCAAAGGAGTTCGTTTGCTTCATGGTCAAGCGCAAGAACAAGTCGGACTCTCACGAGATCAACTACGGCCGAGCCTCTGATGAGATGAAGCGGAAGCTCAATGAGAGCAGGGCCAAGGAATGGTCCAACTGGCTGAAGTATAAAGCCATCCGCTTTCCGACCCAGGCCGAGATCGAATCCCTTTTGCTGGCCGGTGAGAGTGTGATCCCAATGAGATGGGTCGACATTGACAAGAATGAGAAATTGAGAGCACCTGGCGACACAACAATTCCTGAGAAATTGAAGAGCCGCCTGGTGATCAGAGGAGACCTTGAGGATGGCAACTTCAGGACAGATTGTCCAACGGCATCAAGCACAGCCGTCCACATCTTGCTGAGCTATGCCAGTTGCAAGAAGCTGAAGCTGAAGTCCGGAGACATTTCAGCGGCTTTTCTGCAGGGAGCACCTATCCAACGTGTGCTTCTACTTTCAGCCCCTCGAGATGGAATTCCAGTGGAAGGAGGCCCGTGGATCTCACCCGAGGAGTACATGATTGCACTCATGAGCGTCTATGGTTCCAAAGACGCACCTCGTGGTTTTTGGCTGGAACTACGCCAAACCATCATCGACAACGGTGTTGTGGAGATTGAGCCTGCCTTCTACGCCCTGATTCATGAAGGAGAATGCCATGGACTTTTGGCTACACATGTGGATGACCTTCTTTGGACCGGAACACCTATGATGGATGAAGTGATGAACAAGGTCCAAGAGAGATTCACTTTTGGAGCAACGGAAGAAGGGAGCTTTCGTTTTTGTGGCCGAAAGATCGTGGACACCGAGGACTACATCTCAGTCTCTTCGCCGGAGACACTTTCCAAGGTGAAGCCAATCCACATTGACGGAGGACGTCAACGTGAACCTTCATCACCGGCTTCGGTGTCTGAGCAGAGCCAAATGCGTGCAGTGCTTGGTAGCATTGGATGGGTCGCCCGACTTTGCCGACCTGAGCTTTGCTATGGCTGTTCTTCGCTTCAGGGAAAACAAGCCAAACCAACGGCTGAGGATTTGCGCAACACCAACAAGCTGTTGGCATCAGCGCAGAAGACAAAGGACAATGGTGTCCGATTCGTGAAGGGCAAGTTTGACTTTGAGGAAGCCATCTTGTTGTCGGTGACGGACGCTTCGCATGCAGCAGAAGTCAGCGTGACCGAAGATGGGAAGACCCAAGGCCACCGTCCACAAAGTGGCAGGTTTCTTCTCTTGGCTGGAGCGGCGCCAACTGTCAGCCAGCCGGCATGGTGTCACGTGTTGGAGTGGCAATCTCAAACTTTGAAAAGAGTTTGCCGTTCGACTTTGCAGGCGGAGGTTTTGAGCTCTATGCTGGGATCGGAATCAGCCCAACAGGTGCGGATTCTTCTTTACTCCTTGAAGTACCCACGCATTCCTGGTGACCGTGGGATGGGATGGAAGATTCTGGCTGCCGATTCGAAACTGGTGCTGTGGTATTCTGACTGCCGATCGTTCATCGATTACATGTCTGCCACGACGCCTGGGAGCATCACCGACAAGAGATTGGCCATTGACATGACGGCCCTTCGACAAGAGCTATGGCGTGGAGAGAACGAAGAGATCGGAGATCCTTCATCGAGTCCGAAGATGCCCATTGACGCGAAGGACCAATTGGTATGGATTTGTACAGCCGACATGTTGTCGGACCAATTGACAAAGTCAATGCGCTGGGACTCAGTGCGCAACCTTTGCAACACCGGATGTTTTCCATTAACGGTCAGTCCGCTACGGGCGGGATTTCAGTCCAGTACAGTTACAGGGGTGTGAAAGAATCTGCATTGCACCCATGGACATGAAATCCCTGCACATTCCATCCGGTGCTTCTGACATGTATCGGCCCGAGGGCCCTTGAGTCAGCTGGTTCGCAAAACGTGCCATGTGCGACTGCAGCAGCTCGCTTCGTCGAAACTCTGCTTTCAAATCATGTTTGAATGGTGGATTTTCCAATTTCCATATATTGGAAATCAATTGGCCAACTTTTTGGCCCTTCAACGATCATCAAATGGCTGTTTTCTGGTCGTGTGTTTTTGTTCTTTTGTTCTGAACGCTTGTTTTTGTGGTTTAAGTGCAACATGTTTTCACGTATACAACTGAAAGTGCATATTATCTGTCCATTTTGACGGGTTCATCCGACTCTTCCACATTTCCCATGTTGGATTATGATAATCCCCAATATATTGGTAGTATAATCCCCTAAAAACCAATCAACATGGGTTCTGAACACTTCTCCACGCGGCGATTTCTTGCCAGGCTTCTCCTGTATGGTGATCTTTGCCGCACAGCGGCTGGTGCCGCCGGGTGCGGTGGAGGACATCCAGGACTGGGGGAAGAGGAATTTAACCAGGAAACAGTGTGGATTTAAGCAACACATAGGGATTTCACCGGCGCAAAGTATGCATCATTTAAGTTGATTCCAACATCAACTGGGGAATCAAGTGTCAACCATCGTGATTTCACCAACATGAGGGTTTTATCAGCAAGACATGGGGAAATGATCAGCTCGATTCACTTGGGTGTTGTGGGTCATTTCACATTTTTCGCTTACCAACATCTGAGTATAGTAATCCCCAAAAAGACAGAAACAGATAGTTTCCAGGATGGTATACAGATATACAGATGGTATAGATCATAGAATTGGATGATGGGAAAATTTACAGGAAAACCCTATATTTGATGGTAAAAACCATGGTTTCCTGTAGATTTTCCCTTAAACCAATCCAATGAATAGAGTATCGATGATATTTACCTCACACCTCCAGGTTTCCCAATTTTCGGCATTTGCCAGGAAGGTTTTTTGTGTTTTCCTGCAGGATTCTACGTGTGGTTTCTGCGGCCAAAATTCAGGTTATGCAAAAATGGTTGGTGGTTTGGGTTGGTGGTTTGGAAGTCTGGGAAGTCAGAGTTATGTGCAACATTAAATTATACAAGATATTAAATTATATAGTTTTATATAGTTTTATATAGTTTTGTTTTTGTGTGTTTGTATTGTTTGTATTGTTTTTTTTTAAATCTGATCTCTATCTACACTTGTTGGTTCATGTACTCTGACTGATGCCGGTTCCATGGAGGTTCCGCGGAGGCTCCATGGAAGCTACATGGAACATGAAACCTGCATCAGTCAAGGGAAAGGACCACGCTGGAATTGGTTTCAAGAAACTGTGTTTCCCTTATTTGCTGAGATTTTGAATTTTTACTTTTGGTAAGCTGGAAGTATAAATCACTGTTCTTTGTGGATTGACCAATGTCGTTTTCATGGAGGTTCCATGGAGGTATCGCAATAGAAAAACCTGCATGCCAATGCTTCATTTCTTCAAATTCATGTTGATTAAAGTTAGTTCATGTTAGTTCCATGGATTTTCATGTAGATTTCATGGAGGTTCCATGGGGGTTTCGAACATGTTTCTTGTGTCTAGACACGGTGGTTATATAGCGCCTTCTAACTGATGCAGATTTCATGGAGGTTTCATGCAGGTTCCATGTACCTTTTGAAGGTGTAAAGTCAACCATCCGACGCTCACATTGATCCTAAACTGAAGCTCCACTGCTCCAGAGTTGCGGGGGGGTGCTACCCCAGGCTTTCCATAGAGCTACCCTAAAGGACTTCACTAGAACTACCTTGAAGCTACTGTAGGGCTACCCTAGAGCTGGATGAAAAGCGACCCCCCAAAGTAGATCGGTCATGAGTTGTCATGATTTTTGTACAGCAAAATGTTTGCGCGCCAATATAATTTTGTTTAGCATCAGGGATTGATGTCAGTCAAAGCTGTGAACATATGCTATATGCCCCAATGTTTATCATTCTTTTCCCCATTGAATCATACTAAATCGTCTGAAAAATCGCTATGACTAAACGGGCATTCGAAGCAACACAATCGCTGCATCGCAGGAGGTAAAGGACTATGCCGATGTGCAAGAGGTGTGGCACCAGAAAGTTGATGAACAGCGTATTTTTTTCCGGGAAATCCAGGAATCTCTGGGAACTGATTTTTGGGGAAGATTTTGGCTTTTTTTTGGGGGGTTCATTAAGCACACCCAAGAAGAAAAATGGGGATTGGATCAAAAAAAAGGTAAACATCACAAGGATTTGTGATTGAAAAATCATTTTTTTGCGTGACTGTAATGAAACAAAACAGTCGCCAACAGGTATGTGTACGTGGATTTGGACAATTCAACCAGAAAAACAGCAGGATTTTTTCATCTCACTTCGGTTTAATTCGTTCCTGACATATCACATTGAAAAGCTTTGAAGATCAAAACTTTACCCCAGGAAGAAAAGGGGATGACTATTTTGGGGTGTCCCGACCCCCCATCGAGTTGGTATTGGTCAAGTTCCTTTCGGGTTCCATTGATTTGGCTGGGGATTTCTGGTATCACGTTGGGATGGTTGTTATATAGAGGAAACGGTTTTTTGCCGCGTGGGAAAACCACAGCTTTCCCGGAATCTCTCTATACAATTATATACGGGCACATACACGCGCACACCTGTACACACATACATATTCTACATCACATTTCATTTCATTTCATTGCGTTACATTCCATTCCATTCCATTGCATTGCATTGCATTACGTTACGTTGCATTACATTACATACATACAATGTATATATATATACATATGTATATATATATATATCTATATGTATGTATATGTATATGTATATGTATATGTATATGTATATGTATATGTATATGTATATATGTATATGTATATGTATATGTATATGTATATGTATATGTATATGCATATGCATGTTATATAATTATTTTTCCACATTATACACACGTGTTTTTTGCCGTTGTGGCTACATCCTCCTTTCTTTGGTTTCTCCATTCGTGGCAGGTCTACGCTCGCCTCCAGCTGCGTTGTTCGGAGGGGCAGAAGGAGTTGCCCCAGCTGTTGCACGGCATCTTCGGGTTCTATGCTGACGCTTGGATGTTGGGCCCGTAATTTCATGTACCCTCTGGTAAACTAACATAACTATGGAAAATCACCATTTTTGATGGGAAAATCCACTATAAATGGTCATTTTCAATAGCTATGTTAGTTTACCAGAGGGTACTTTCAGCTCAGTGAAGAAATTAGATCAAGTAAAAATGGAAGGGTTACCCTTTGGTAATCAAACATGATAAGTGACAATCCACTCTGAATGGCATTTTCATGAGAACATCATCTATAAATTTGTGATTTTCCTGTGCCATGTTTGATTTTCTTGAGGGTAGACGGCAAACGGGGGGTTGTAAAGGAAAATCGAAATTGATATATAAGGAACAGAAATGAGGCGTAGAAAACAGCTGGCACTCAATGGACAAGCACCAACACCACTGATTATGTGCAACTGAAAGTGGAGAACAGTTGGACACACTATTTATGGTGATATGCCCAGGTGCAACAGGAACCCCTCTCCGGATGAATTGGCAGTTTTTGGGTGTTGCGGTGTTGCCCAACTCCCAAAACTCCTGAGATTGTTTGGATTGCCATTTTTTGTTGTTCCTCCCCCACATGGTTCTTGGTTTCATTTGCTGCTTGGTTCCAATTTCATTTTCATCAAAAACAACACCGTGCAGTTTCTTTTTATTGAAATTGGTTCTCAAGAGACAGTTTCATCAGTTTCAACTCCTTTGGTTGAGAATAACACCCAGTTCAAGTTCAAGATGACTCCCGTCTCTGGTCCATGTCCTTTCTTCAGACCAGATGTTCAATATTTTTTTCCATCCACTGGATCAACATCCCCTAGTCTGATCTTATTTCATCTTTTCCTGATCATGATCATTGGATACCAAAGCGTATAACATACCATCGCCCCTTTGGTTAAGCGGAAAATTGAACCCCTGGTATCTGCGGGCAACCACCATGGGTTTCCTGTAGATATTCCCAGCAACTCCATTCAATGGATCTTCCCAGGAAGATTTCGACTGGTCACGCCACGTCGTCTCCCTACCACAAAAAAACATGGCACTGGGCGCGGACACCTTGCGGATCCAAGATCCGGTACCTCGACGAAGTGCACTTTCTGTGACTTCACCGTTGGTGAGAGATAGGAATATTTCAATGTAAGGGGAACTACCCCTCTGTAAATGGTGACTTCATTACTTCATGTGATTTAGAGATATATTTCAACATCATCTGTGGGGGCTCCAACCATCAATGGTTGGCTGATGACTGGTTTTTTTTTACTGTCCAATATAGTGGGGATGATCATACTCCATGCGCAGAATCCCGACTAAAACACTGCTCAGAGATAAGCCAGATAATCAGCATCTCAGCATCTTGTAGAACGATGCAATCGATGCAATCCACAGTCAGACTATGCTTTGACAACAGGAACATAAATTCCACAGTTAATTGAACATTAATTCCCATTAATTGTGCATCATTAATTCCCATTAATTCCCATTAATCCACAATCATATCTGTTCAGACCTATTTTTTTTGGTTGAAGGGTTCAACTGTCAAACATGAAAACTCCTGGGCCTCACTTAAAATCGTCCCGCTGTATAGCCAGAAACTCTGGATTTCTATGATGACCTCTGTGAAATTGGATGCAGACCAGCCAAGAAACGAGTGAAGTCTTCTGATCGCCGCTTGACGTCGTGAAGTGTCCCACTTGATAATCACCCCACAGGAATCAGTACCAACAAAAAAAAATGTGTGAGTTTAAAATGCCACAAATAGGACTACAACCAGCCCCTGTGTGATATTTCCTTTCAGGTGTGTACCCTCCGGTTCCTAAAACTATGACGTGCTGAAACTCCCCCATTTATAGATGATTTTCCCATCCAAAACTTCATTTACAGGGGATTTCCCGGCTAGCCACGTTTGCCGAAGGCTAATCCAATTTTTGGTCAGGTTCAGACTGAGCTGGACCTCGCTCGGCCCTACATGAACCAGGCGTCGGATGGAGAATGTGTTGACGTTTTACTCATGGCTAGACCTGCAAGATCGCTCCCACAAAGCCAGACATGTAGTCTAGAGTTTATAAAATTTATATCACCTGAGAGAGGGTCAGATTTATGTTCGTCAAGATAAAAAGCAGAATAACTATGACTATGAGTCTATGAGAGTCCTGATAATGATAACACATGACTATATGACCTTGATGATCTTCTTGATGATTATGCTTCTGATGATGAGTCTCCACAAAGGTCTGACTGGCACGCACTCCAAATAGAACATGCATCAAGGGTTTCACACATGCATTTAGGGTTGATGGATCAAAAGGAACATATTCAGTCATATTCAGGGATCCAAAATGAACATGTGTTCAGGGATCGAACATATCGATATGAGTGGATCAAGCAAGCAGAACATATTTTAGGGATAAAAAGAACCGATATAAAAATGTGTAGGTAGGGATCCCAAAGAGAAAATATAAAGGTCAAAAAGAACACGTGAAGCGATCAAACAGAGAACATTGATTTATATAGGGTTAAAAACGCTACAATTTAGGGATCAAAACAAATCAAAACTATTTTGGGGATCAAACAGAGCACATTCGGAGATCAAACAGAACATTGAGGGATCCAAAGAACATGTATTGGGATGAAAAAAGAAAATGCTTGGGCATCACAAGAATATTTGGGGACCACGAAGAAAGATCCAGGGATCAAACAGAACCAAAAAATATGAATGGATGAAAACGACATTCTTGTGTTTTGTCGTGGCGGGTGCTTTCCAAAAACTTAAAGCATCTATTATTGATATTGCCTGCGTCTCATATTGCATCTAGGACGGTGCCAAAACCACCTTTTGAACTATGTCTCAAACACATTCTGGGTAATTCAAAGTGTTTCGAGTCTCAATCCAGAAGCCTTAAACAAACTCTAAGACCAGCCTAAATTACCCCCAAATCAATCATCAAAAACAATGCTCTAACCCAACACAAAGTCTATAGGCCCTATACCAACGCCAAACCAACTCCCCAAAAATCCATAACTTACTTGTGCTTAGGGAATTTTTGGGATTGATCCAATCCATAACTATCAATAACTATCAATCATCATCCCAGCCCCAGCAACCCATCCATTCCCTACGCTGAAAGCCCTGCCAGGCGCGCTCCGATCTCCTTCGCCAGGAGCTCTTCGAGGCGTTTCAACAGCTCCACAGCGGTCGCTGGGACGACTTCCTGGCGAAAAAAAGCGCCTGGTGGGGCCACGGTGCTCGCTTGGAAATCGCTGATGAAAAATGGAGAAAAATGGGAAATCATCAAATTTCATGGGAAAATCATGGAAAATCTCTGATCTAAATGGATGTTTGAATGGGAAAATCATCTAGTGCGGAGTTTCCCCCAACTTAATAGACTGTAGACCTTGAAAATCTTTGAAGAGTGGAAACATATCTGAAAAACCACAGATGGCGCGGTCGAACTGTGAATTTGGGGATGGCAAATTGAAATTACAATTTCATGCTGGACACTTTTTTAAAAACATGATTGGGATTACTTGAATTTCAAGCACATTTGTTCTTTTCTAAGGATCAGGTTTACGTTTATTCTGCACCTAGTACGCATGATTTTACTGGGGGTGTTGCTATGGGGGCAAACTAGAGGTTGAGGTTGTCGCTTTCTTACACCTAGTAGGAACCCAGATGGTAAAAGTAGCAGTAATTATGGAGTGCCCCCTTTAGAGGCGGTCACCAACAGCGGGTTACCTGTATGTAGAATCAATAGATGATTATATACTGGTTGGTGGTTTGGAACATTTGGATTATTTTTCATTATTTTTCCCATCATATTGGGAATTTCATCATCCCAACTGACGAACTCACTCCATCATTTTTCAGAGGGGTAGGGCTCAAAACCACCAACCAGTATAGTAAACTGTGGTATCAGCCCTTGTGGGAATCCGAAGGGGAGTTTTCATTCATCTATGATCCTCCCAGCTGCTGGCAACCATGGCTGTCACCTACTTCCCCGTGGAAACCGTGTAGCAACGTATTGGATTTATTCAGGGGGCCCATACCCATAGGATCCATGGTGCTGGTATATGGATGGGATCCATGTTACCATATATAGCAGCACCATGGATCCGTCATGGGATATGGGGCCCCCTGAAACCAGCATGACAGCAGAGGAGCACTTGCATGAGCTGGGGCGACCAGCTGGAGTGCGGGTTGGGGGCCCATTGGGGATGGTGTAGCTCTGAGGTGCTGGGTAGACCTGTATAACCATGGTTTCTGCTTGGTGGTTTGGAACAAATGGTGGTTTTACTCGCAGCTAAATGTGATGACTGGTTGGTGGTTTGGAACATTTTTTTTTATATTTTCCATGTCATATATGGGATGTCATCCTTCCCATTGACGAACTCCATCATTTTTCAAGATGGTTATTGCACCACCAACCAGATATATTATTCATTAGATCAGGTATTAATCACTAATAACCACTATTAACCACTATTCATCACTATTAACCATGGTTAAAACCACCAACCAGATGATGATCCGTGCAATCCGAATTGATCCCTTTATTGTTTTGATGGGTGGGCAAAAAACACGTGATCCAACACTGGGAATCCAACAGCCCCCATTCTATGATCCCTTGGTTTAGTGTCAATCCCCTACTAACCCATGGTTTCCGGCGTTTAATATCAGGGGGAATGGATGAGATTGGGAATGGTAAGGTTTTCTAAGGTTTTCCGTCTGTCATAAAAGGCCTGCAAGCCCATTTCCCATCATTTCTCATCATAGATGCCACCCTTCTGAGCTGGCCTTAGTAAACAGCCTCCCAGCGCGGTCAGACATCTCTCATTGGATGATTCTTCAGTTGAACTTGGGGACCTCTATACACATTGAATCAGATCAATATCCGCCTGATTCATCATAGGTGCACAAATATATATATATATGTATATCTGGGTAAATTATAACGACCTCACTGCGACCTCACTGGAATCATGGTTAATAAGGGAAATCATCCCCAAATGGGCTTAATTCAGGTTAGTGAAATATTATAATTTACCCGTATACATATATATATATCTCTGTCTATCTGGATTGATTATAATGACCCTACTGCGACGGAATGACAGTTAGGATTGGGGTAACGGGTAACTATCCCCAAAATAGCCGAACATGTCCGGTTAGTGAATCATTGTAAGTTGTCCATGTATCAATAAAATTCATACATATATGATTATACAATATTATATATACATATATGATTATATATACATATATGATTATATATATATACATATGGTTGTAGATACATATATGATTATATATACATATATGATTATATATACATACATGATTATACATACAGATATGATGATATATACACATATAGAATTATATATATATAGAGTCATACTATATAATTATATATGTATATATATATATACATATAGAATTATATATATAGTCATACTATATAATTACATACATATATATATATACATGGTACCATATATACACATTATATACTGTACTACCCCTGAATAGAATCCCTGGTTCTTTCGTTCCCATCGGCTGCCGCAGATCTTGGACCTCTGTGCCTTGCGCGAGAACCGAAACCGACGGGAGACCAGGTCGGGATGGGCGCCGTTTTAGTGGCCCAGATTTCATGATGAGTTCGTTGATGACCCAAAGCCTGCCATAAACCATGGCAAAGTTTGGATGTATATGGTTTTAAATCACATATATATATATACACATATGTTTTATACATAATCATATTGATTTTCATATTTCATGTATGTTGAGATAAGCCGAAAACATTTCAGGCTTGATTTCTTGTGAGGTTTACTACATTGCAAGAAGGGAGGAGAGGACAATACTACAGGTTCTTCAGGCAATAGCTGTCATCTGTTGGTTCCTGCCAAAATCATCACCTACGGATAGCTACGGGTGGAATGCCTAGATATATAACGGTGAATCATGGTTCATCATTGATTACAATGGGATAATCATTGATAACAATGGTTAATAATGGGTTAATAATGGGTTAATAATGGGTTAATAATGGGTTAATAATGGGTTAACAATGGATTTCATGGGATATTTCTGATTCCCCGAGGCCATAGAATCTATAGAAATCATGACTGGATGCCAACAATACGTTACTGTCTAATGATGATATATCAAATAATGACCATATTCAAAACTGATGTTTTTTTGTAATTTCTATACATCCTCTATCTATTTTACAATGTTCTTTTTTGTTTCAATACTACAGAAGTAGATAGAGATACGTGTGGTATCAATTAATGGTATCAATTTTATTGACAATTTTAAAAATTACACCATGAATTGGTGGTATCAATGATTATATCCAACATTTTTAAGAATTCTAGTCAAACATGGCTGGCTGGGGAACCCCCATAAATATATAGAGGTTTATAGCTGAGAGACTCATCGGTCACTAAATGGTGGATTTTCGCGCCGGCCATGATGACACCAGAAGGTAATAATGACAATGGTGACTGAACCATTACCCTCTGGTTATGTCAAAATAGCTATTGAAAATGGCCATTTATAGTGGATTTTCCCATTGAAAATGGTGATTTCCCATAGCTATGTTAGTTTACCAGAGGGTATCTACCATCACCATCATGATCATAGTGACAATAACATGATAACATGATATCTATGGTGATTAACTCATTTGATGATAACCATCATCTATCTGTTTGATGTTATTGTCATTATTTACCATCACTCTTAACAGATGGATAATGGAATTTTTATCATGATATCACATGATTACATTGATTTCACAGTCAACGCCATGGATTATGTGTGAATCCATATGGAGGTTTCCTGAGTCATAGGGGTACCCCTAGTTATCATCCAGCTATGGGGATCCATATGGATCCATATGGTTTATCATCATGTGGTTAATCCATGTGGTTTTCATACTGATTAATGATGGTCAATGATAGTTAATAATGGTTAATAATGGTTAATATCTGGTTGCTGGTGACTGGAACATGGCTCGACTATGACTTTCCAGAAACAGTTGGGAATGGAATAATCATCCCAACTGACGAACTCATATTTTTCAGAGGGGTAGGTATACCACCGACCAGTATGGATTACCAGTATATAAGGCCATATCGTGTGGTGATATTCACTTACATAGGCCTTTTTTTTCGGCCTTATATATGGAATCGGTACCTCCATTTTAGGATCCTGAAATTCCCATTGGTGCTATGGATTACCATGAATTTATTGCCAGGCTGTTGCCCATGCTGAACTTCATCGCCTCGTCCATCTGGACGCGGCTCTTCGGCCATCAAGCTGAGCTGCTGAAAGGCCGCCGTTTTGGAGTTTTCACCAGCGGTTTGTGAATAAAAATGGACCATTTAAGGACCATTTTTGACCCGGATTTCACTGTCATTTGCTTCATTTTTTCGCTTCGATCTTTGCGTTTGCATGTTTTCAACGTTTCTTCTCGAACCTATTTTTGTGTGGCACTTTGAGTGTATCACTTATCACTGTGCAAACTCTGCACGAAGGAAGTCCAGTCCAGACAGGTCAATCATGAAACCATGGATATCTACAAGTATTCTGCGTGTTTGCTAACTTAGATTTTGTTTCCTACTGGTACTGTAACCTCTTGGATCTTGATGTCATTCAGGCTCTTTCATATGCGGATTCAGAGAAACTCTGGTAAATTAACTGGAAGTCTATAGCAAAAATCACTATGAATCACCAAAAGCCACCATTTATGAACATACCATGGTGCACCCATATTCCATGAATTTCCACTTTTTGTGACATCCTCGGTACTACCATACTACCTGGGAAAACTTTGGTTGAGTATGCTATATATTTTTTGTTTTAAACATTTTTTTGCCCCATACATTGGGATATGTGCCAAGCACTTAGAAAAAGACGTTGTTGCGTGGTATCTAAGCACCGCCCATCACAGGCCAAGACCACGAGAACGAGTGCCCCAACAATTCAATCGCCCAGCCATGATCATCATGATCATCCCGGAGTGGCGTTTAAATCAGGGATCCTGACGTATAAAAATGCAGGTTTAGAAACTATGATATAGTTCTCAGAATCTATTCCATTATATCTGGGTAAATTATAACGACCTCACTGCGACCTGACTGGAATCATGGTTAGTAAGGGAAAATATCCCCAAATAGCCTTCTTTCAGATTGGTGAAATATCATAATTTGCCCAGATTATATAAATATATAATTCTCAGAAGCTATTTCATGTTTTTCCAAACAAATTATCGCTTGCTTCTGGGTTTAAAAAAACATGTTTTGAACAAGGTGTCATATATATAATTGGGTCTTACAATTTGTTGCTACATATTTGTTGCATGTGCTGTAAATCATGATATTTTTTCACATTACGTCTAAACATGATTATGTAATGTCCAAACCTTTTGCCTCCAAGATCCCTCCTTGTCCGGACACGCAGCACACCCACTGTCTTTTGGCACAAACCCTGCAAGTGAAGTTTTTGAAAGCGACGTGCCAAACCGCAGCATTCGATGAAAACAACCTTTTTCCATACATACGTACGTACATACATACGCTTGATCAGCGCGTGGCTACACTTTAATTTTTTGTGCCTTGGGTCCGCCCGCGGGCACCACAAGAAACTTTAGTTTCGATGCCAAGACAAAAAAGCTCAAACTTTACTGCGGAAACCCACTGAATAAGTGCGTGCATACATGGATATATACGTACAATTAGACAGCACAGCACAATGAGCGCACGCAATTGGATATAATTTGCGTTTCAAAATTATCACATAAATCATGTATGACTTTAAAATCAGGTTATCTATATTTTTTATTGGTTAGCTAAGTGATGTTCATGATGAAATTACAATATATGTTAGTTCTGAGTTTTATACATGCTCCATGACAGGTTTGTGGTACCATCCAGGCGATCCATGCGTGAGTGTACAAGTCAAGCCTGTCTCTTCTTGCTCTTACTATTATATGGTCATATGGTTGGTGGTTTGGAACATTTTTTATTTTTCCATATATTGGGAATAGTAACCCCAACTGACTAAAATTTTTCAGAGGGGTTGAAACCACCAACCAGTCATATGATCATATGATCACAGATGACATGTTTGGTGTTTGGTTGTGAAAAAAACGCGGCTGTAGCATACGACAGCAGAGAACATGGTTAGTGCATTCCCTTGTCATGCTACTACCTTCTCCAAATACCACTAGGCCGCAGTTATGTTGCATAACTGCGCACTGATGACTCTTAGCACGGTTAGTGCTTTGTAGGTATACATGGTTTGTCTCTTGCTTTTCTTACGAGGTATGATTTGACGATCATATCACTGTCACGAGGTATCTGCAAATGATGGGCTCAATTCATGACACCGAAGATTCAGATAGACCGATGTGGCACATGGCACGGCATTCCGTAGGAGGTAGGGCAGTACAGTAGAGACTGGTAAATCAGTTGTTAACTAGCAGCTACTAGCAAGTTAGCTATCAGCTATCATTGTATCATAATCATTGTCATTAGCATGTATCAACTAAACTCTACTATCTGTGGCTTAAGACCGTTCCAACGTCTACGCTGTAACATGCCACAAGTAGTCAGGTATGTGGATTGTATCATGTCACAGCGTAAGCACGTAGCGGTGTAATGCCTTTAGTTATATGTTGTATGTTTCATGAAACATGACTGAAACTGTACATCTTGGGAATATGGGCTGGTTTGATGAATCCTGCAGATTTTAATTGCATGATGCAATACTTCCAGTGCTTTCTGGCAAATATTCACCTTTTCACCGGAATAGACAATGTGGCAGAATGGGCTTCTACATTGGATGTTTCCTGCTGGAAGCCGACCCTGGAAAGGACTGCAGCTTTGTGATCCACTCCACCTCCATGCTCAGTTTTTTGAATTTAGGTTCTGAGATTTGAGAACTAGTTTCAGACCATTTTTTTGGGGGGAATTTTTAGGTAGAAACGGTAGAAACTCGGTTTCTGGAACCATCCGTAAGCTATTTCGGGGCTCAATTTTCGTCAATGGTTGACTCACGATTTTTTTTCCCACAGGACAGCCAGAAAGAGCTGAGTGCAAAGTCCCAACAACAAATCAACAATGCTTTTATCCGCTTGAACACCCAAGCGGGGCCCAGCCCACAAATACGCAACTGCCAGGACATCCCAAGATGTCCCTTCAAAAACCCTTTATCTTTCCCACAGAAGTTTAAGTAAGGCCAAAAGTTATTTTGAACCGTGTTGAAACTTGAAACTTTGGTAATTGAAGTATTGATTGCCGGATCATGCCAACATCTCTAGACTTTCTTGACTTCTATGGGACTCTATGTTGTCTATGTTTGATTTTCTTGCTCATCTTGAAAAAAGGCAATCATGTCATGAGGCTATAAACCAAACAGGCAGGAACCGTCGGAACCGTTTCTACCAGTTTTGAAAACACGCATAACTTTTGACACTATGGTAAAATGGTAAAGGCTTCGAGGTTACTTAAAATAGGATATCAGCTGTTCAATACGGTGCAATGGTAAAATTGTAAGTTAAACATGTTTAATTGAAAACTGTAAAGTAAAAAGTGAACTTATAGCTTCGTTACACGTTTTTACATTTT